ACCAAATACGGCTTGGCTTCAGGAAATGCAGTGCATTGTGGGATGCATTTCTGTTTCCCAGAATGCCCTGACTGAGAGGAGAAGCAGTTCCTTGTTCCCCTCTGCATAGTGCTTGGTCCCCTTGATAGGGGAGAAGAAGATACTGGATTTATACCCTGCCCTTCACTCGGAGTCTCAGAGCGGTCGACATTCTCCTTTCTCTTTCCCTCCCCACAACAGACACCCTGTGAAGCAGGTGGGGCTAAGAAAGCTCTTTGGAGAACTACTCTTGAGAGAACAGCTCTGCAATAACTTGTAACTGACCCAAGGTCGCACCAGCAGCTGCATGTGGAGGGGTGGGAAATCAAACCCGGTTCTCCCAGATTAGAGTCCGTGCACTTAACCACGACACCAAACTGGCTCAGAGGCATTGTTTGTTTTTGCTGTCAGATCACAGCTGACGTCTGGCAACCCGGTCAGGTTTTCAAGGCAAGAGACGTTCAGAGGTAGTTTGCCGTAGCAACCCTGGACTTTCTTGGAGGTCTCCCATCCAGATATGAACCAGGGCCAACCCTGCTTAGGGGCAAAGGCGGCTAGCAAATGTTTTGACTCAATACATTACATAAACGCAAGGTACGTCAGCACAGCGGCGCAGCCAAGGGATCGGCGCAGGCTGGATGTAACTGGCCTAATGAGTTGGTGACAGACGTGAGATTTGACCTGGGGACATCCGGTTTCATACTCCGTGCTGCCACACCGCGCCTGTTCTCCGTCCGGCCCAGCCTGACCCGGCTGTGTCGCTCTGGGCCATACGTCCGTCGGTGATGTCAGTCCGGCGGGGCGGTGCCGCTCACCAGTGCCAGCCAGGCCCAGCCGGGCGCACCACCCCGTTTCCGGCGTCAGTGCTGGGAGAAACATAGCACAAGGGGAACAATGGCTATTGATCGCGGCCTCCTTATCTGCCTGGCATTGTCCGAACTGGAACGTCTCGGCCGGGGCCGGGGCCTCTGTGTTGTGAGCTCTGGGTTCCCTTCGCCGCGACCCAGCCTGAAAGGATTGAGCGGTTTCCAGGAAGGCAGGTTAAGGAAAGGATGGGGGGGGACTCTGTGCCTCCCCAGGGAGAAAGGCAGGGCTGCATTTAGGAGAGGTCTGGCCCTCCCAGAGACGTTCTGCCACCTTTGTCTGAATTTTTCAGGTTGTTTTTTGGGGGGGCTGTATTTTTCATGTGTGTTTGTGAGTGTGCGTGCACCTGGAAGTCATGGTGACCTCCAGTGACTGACTCCTACTAGGACCCTGGAGGATATTCAGAGAGGTGGCGGAATAAAGCCTGCCCCCGCCTCCCGACTGCTGGTATTCCCAGAAGGTCTCCCATCCAAGGACTTGCGAGAGTTGACCTTGTTTGGCTTCTGAGATCTGACGAGGTCGGACTTGCCTGGGATATCCAGGTCAGGGCCAGATTTTTCAGTTTTTCTTTGGGAGATCGAGCAGCCCCTACTCCTTTTAGTTACAGAAAGAGCAAGGGAAACACGCCGACGGGGTTCTTTGCAGTAGAAAGTGGCGTCAAGTTGCGGGTGACTTATGGAGATTCGTTTGGACTGCTGTGTACAGTTCTGGCCATCATATCTCAAAAAGGCAGGGCTCATTTCCTGCAGGAGCGCACAGGAGCGGAGCTCCGGCAGTAAAGAGCCCAGGGGGTGGGCACATGCAACAAGCCCCACCCCCTGCTCCCAGCAGCCCTCAGTCAGAGCAAGAAGCAGCTAGGTAAGCTGCAGAGCTCCACCCAGCCCCCCTGGTCCAAAACAGTCCAGTGGCACCTTTAAGACCAAGTTTTATTCAGGTACAAGCTCTCCCTCCTCTTGTGAGGACAGATCTGCACGCTCCCCCCCCCCCCAAAGCCCAAGACACACAACCAGACAAGTGGCACCTTTAAGACCAAGTTTTATTCAGGTACAAGCTCTCCCTCCTCTGTGAGGACAGATCTGCACGCTCCCCCCCCCCAATAGCTAGCAATCTAAAACAGTCCAGTGGCACCTTTAAGACCAGGTTTTATTCAGGTACAAGCTCTCCCTCCTCTGCAAGGACAGATCTGCACGTCCCCCCCCCCCCAATAGCTAGCAATCCAAAACAGTCCAGTGGAGTCTGAGCCGTGGGTGTTGCCTTCTGACACATTTCCGGTGATGTCAGGGGGTGTGGCATATGCAAATGAGTTATGCTAATGAGCTCCTGCACCTCTTTTTCCACGAAATGACCCCTGCAAAAAGGACATTGCAGAGCTGGGGAAAGTACCAAGGAGGGCCACCAAGACGATGAGCGGGATGGAGCACCTTCCCTATTAGGAAAGGCTGAAGAGTCTGGGACTTTTCAGTTTAGAAAAGAGGTGATGGGGTATGGGTATGGTAGAGGTTTGCAAAATTACGCATGGGGTGGAGAGAGTTGACAAAGAGAACGTTTTCTCCCTCTCCCCCCAAAAAATAGAACTCAAAGGTATCAAATGAAGCTGATGGGCGGTAGGTTCAGGACGAATGAAAGGAAATACCACTTTACACAGAAATTGATTAAACGTGGAATGTGTTGCCAGAGGAGGTCGTGAGGGCCACAGAAATAAGCAGCTTTGCGCCCTGACCTGGATAGCGCAGGCAGGCCCGATATCATCAGATCTTGGAAGCTAAGCAGGGTTGACCCTGGCAAGTACTTGGATGAGAGACCTCCACGGAATACCAGGGCCAGGACACAGAGGCAGGCAATACTAAGCCGCCTCTCTGAAATATTCAAGCCCCCAGTAGGGGTCACCAGAAGTCAACGCACGCACACAAAATACTTTTAAAAAAAGGGATAAACAGCTTTACAAGGGGATTAGATAGATTCATGGAAGAGAAGTGTATCAGTGGCCACTAGCCATGGGGACTCAGGGCAACCTCCACATTCAGAGGCACTAATCCTCTGAATCCCCGAGCCAGGTGGCAACATCAGGGGAAGGCCTCGGCCTCTCTGCCCTGTTGTTGGCCATCCTGAGGAACCAGTTTGGCCACTGTGTGAGACAGGAGGCTGGACTAGATGGACCTTCACTGGTCTGATCCAGCAGAGCTCTTATGTTCTTATCTGGGGAAGGTCTTGGCCTCTGCGCCCTGTTCAGCCCCTCCTGGGAGCTGCGGTCTCTGACTCCACTGGTGTGGAGTGGCGGGCTCCAGCTATTCAGTAGCAGTGAAGTGTGGATCAGAAATACCCAGCTGGAAACTAAACGCAAAATTGTTCTGGAGCCATCCTTTCTGCGCTAAGACAAAAATGTGTGAGCCAGAGGCTAAAAAACTGTGAGCTAGCTCACACTAACTCAGTTTAGAGGGAGCACTGGAGGTGCACAAAAGGGCAACTAAAATGCCAGTTTGGTGTCGTTAAGTGTGCGGACTCTCATCTGGGAGAACCGGGTTTGATTCCCCACTCTTCCACTTGCACCTGGCTGGATGACCTTGGGCAAGCCGTAGTTCTGATAAGAGCTGTTCTTGAAAAAAGAAAATCCCTTTCTCTCGCTAACCAGTGTCGCCACCGTGAGATAAGAAGGGAAACTCCCGCTCACACAGTGGCATTCCAGGCTCGCTAGAATATTTGTCAGTGTGCGGCCACCTGTGGTCAAGTCGACCATGTTTGACCCATCCGTTGAGTCGCAGGCTGGCCCTGACATGGCTGCAAAGGATCTCATGTCCAGGTATCAGTGCTCCCTCTAAGCTGTGGAGTCTTGTGAGCAAGAATTCTACTTTGCCCGTTTGGTGTAGTGGTGAAGTGCGCAGACTCTAATCTGGGAGAGCCGGGTTTGATTCCCCACTCCTCCACTTGCACCTGGCTGGATTACCTTGGGCAAGCCATAGTTCTGATAAGAGCTGTTCTTGAAAAAAGAGCAGTTTCTGCCAAGAGCTCTCTCAGCCCCACCTACCTCACAGGGTGTCTGTTGTGGGGAGGGGAAGGGGAACGAGTTTGTAAGCCGCTCAGAGACTCCTCTGGGTTGTGAAGGGCGGGGTATGAATCCAATCTCTTCTTCTTCTCTTCTAAAATGATGAAGGGGATGGAACACTTTAACTATGAAGAAAGGTTAAGCGGTTAGGGCTCTTTAACTTGGAGAAACGATGATTGAGGAGTGACATGATAGAGGTTTGCCAAATCATGCATGGGACAGAGAAGGCAGAGAAAGAATTTCTTTTCTCCCTTTCTCCCAATACAAGAACTTGTGGGCACTCAATGAAGTTAACGAGCAGTAGGTTTAGAGCTGATAAAAGGAAGTACTTCTTCACCCAAAGCGTCATTCACCCGTGGAATTCACTGCCACATGAAGTGGTGGCAGCTACAGGCATGGACGGCTTCAAGAGGGGACTGGATAAACATGTGGAGCAGAGGTCCATCAGTGGCTATCAGCCACAAGGTATAGATGAAACACTCTGTCTGGGGCAGTGATGCCCTGTGTTCTTGGTGCTTGGGGGGCAACAGTGGGAGGGCTTCTGGAGTTCTGGCCCCGCTGGTGGACCTCCTGAAGGCACCTGGGTTTTGGCTACTGTGTGATACAGAGTGTTGGACCGGATGGGCCATTGGCCTGAACCGACATGGCTTCTCTTATGTTCTTATGGATAAATATACGGAGCGGAGGTCCCTGAGTGGCTATCAGCCACGAGGCACAGACGGAACACTCTGTCTGGGGCAGTGATGCCCTGTGTTCTTGGTGCTTGGGGGGCAACAGTGGGAGGGCTTCCGGAGTTCTGGCCCCGCTGGGAAACCTCCTGAGGGCACCTGATATTTTTGGCCACTGTGTGACACAGAGTGTTGGACTGGATGGGCCATTGGCCTGATCCAACATGGCTTCTCTTACGTTCTTGTGTCTGGGGGAGTGATGCTCTGCCTGAGTCTTTGTCCTTTTGAGGTCGCAATGAAAAAGCGTTGGACTGGATGGGCCACTGGCCTGATCCAACATTGGCTTCTCCCATGTTCTTCTCTGTCCAGCCATGCCCTTGACCCTTCACTTCTTATTCTCCCCCCGGCAGATGTATGGCCGCTACACGCAGGACCTGGGAGCCTTTGCCAAAGACGAAGCAGCCCGCATCCGGCGACAGCAGGAGCGGTGGAAAGGGTCCCCGAAGGAGCACCTGCGCCCGTCAGAGCTGCTGGAGTACGACCAGAGCCGGTGTGCGCGATGCCGAAGTAAGGAGCTTGCTGTTTGTTTGCCGGGGGGGGGGGCACACGATTGGGCTCCCAATGCCGTTTGGTGCAGTCTAGTCATAGAATAGAATCATAGAATCCTAGAGCTGGAAGAGGCCATAGAGGACATCTAGTCTAACCCCTGGCTCAATGCAGGGTCATGCTCGAAGAAAGCAGCTGTGGAAACCCGAGCTGCAGTGTTAGAAGAGTCAAGGTAAAGGTAAAGGTAAAGGTTCCCTTGCTCGAAAGCCAGTCGAATCCGACTCTAGGTTGCGGTGCTCATCTCCGTTTCAAAGCCGAAGAGCCAGCGCTGTCGGAAGACGTTTCCGTGGTCATGTGGCCAGCATGACTAAACACCAAGGCGCACGGAACGCTGTTCCCTTCCCACCGAAGTGATACCTATTTATCTACTTGCAATTTCTTGCTTTCGAACTGCTAGGTTGGCAGGAGCTGGAACTAGAGACAGGAGCTCACCCCGTCTTGCGGCACCCGGGTCTTGAACTGCTGAACTACTGACCTTCCACAGCCTGCAGTACAGCGTCTTAACCACTTGAGCCACCGCAACGAACAACAAATATATACACTGCAAAAACCTTTTTTATAAGCTAAAGTGTTCTATATGTTCCATCTTATAAAGTGCATCGTGTATTATTCATAATATTCTAAAAGAGGTAGATATTCATTACATCATGCAATATCAACAATAATAATCAGTTTGTACAATCTAGTCTCTAGTTCCAGCTCCTGCCAACCTAGCAGTTCGAAAGCAAGAAATTGCAAGTAGATAAATAGGTATCACTTCGTACCACTTCGGTGGGAAGGTAACAGCGTTCCATGCACCTTGGTGTTTAGTCATGCCGGCCACATGACCACGGAAACGTCTTCGGACAGCGCTGGCTCTTCGTCTTTGAAACGGAGATGAGCACCGCAACCCTAGAGTCGGACTCGACTGGCTTTCGAGCAAGGGAACCTTTACCTTTACTTTACAAACTAATAACTACCAGTCAATTTACATCCTTTTTACACAATCAACCCCTCCGGGAGTTTCTAGAATTGTACGCCCGCTTCTCCTTGCTTGAAAGTCTTCTAAAGGTAGAAGTTTCCTTTTGTGTTTACATTGAAGTTTAAAGTGATGTTTGTTGCTGGTCCTACAAAAGGCTGTTAAAAGATATAATTCATGAGTCTAAAAATTATATAATATATCTAATATAACTTAGCTTCTTGTCATTTTTTTACCCCATTAAGCAGCTGATAATTAGCTGGTATATATCCACCTGTAACTAAAGAACATAAGAACATCAGGCCAATGGTCCATCTAGTACAACAGTCTGTGTCACACAGTGGCCAAAGCCCAGGTGCCCTCAGGAGGTCCAGCAGTTGGGCCAGAACTCCAGAAGCCCTCCCACTGTTGCCCCCCCAAGCACCAAGAATACAGAGCATCCCTGCCCCAGACAGGGTTTTATCAATACCTTGTGGCTTATAGCCACTCAACGGACTTCTGCGCTTAAAAACATAAGAGAAGCCATGTTGGATCAGGCCAATGGCCCATCCAGTCCACCACTCTGTGTCACACAGTGGCCAAAGCCCAGGTGCCCTCAGGAGGTCCACCAGTTGGGCCAGAACTCCAGAAGCCCTCCCACTGTTGCCCCCCAAACACCAAGAATAGACAGCATCACTGCCCCAGACAGAGTGCTTCATCAATACCTTGTGGCTAATAGCCACTCAACAGACTTCTACACTTAAGAACATAAGAGAAGCCAAGTTGGATCAGGCCAATGGCCCATCCAGTCCAACACTCTGTGTCACACAGTGGCCAAAAATACCAGGTGCCATCAGGAGGTCCAGCAGTGGGGCCAGGACACTAGAAGCCCTCCCACTGTTGCCCCCCAAACTCCAAGAATAGACAGCATCACTGCCCCAGACAGAGTTTTTCATCAATACCTTGTGGCTAATAGCCACTCAACTGACTTCTACTCTTAAGAACATAAGAGAAGCCATGTTGGATCAGGCCAGTGGCCCATCCAGTCCAACACTCTGTGTCACACAGTGGCCAAAGCCCAGGTGCCCTCAGGAGGTCCACCAGTTGGGCCAGAACTCCAGAAGCCCGCCCAATGTTGCCCCCCCAAGCACCAAGAATAGAGAGCGTCACTGCCCCAGACAGAGGGTTTCATCAATACTTTGTGGCTTATAGCCACTCAACGGACTTCTGCTCTTAAAAACATAAGAGAAGCCATGTTGGATCAGGCCAATGGCCCATCCAGTCCAACACTCTGTGTCACACAGTGGCCAGAAATACCAGTGCCATCAGGAGGTCCACCAGTTGGGCCAGAACACTAGAAGCCCTCCCACTGTCCCCCCCCCCCAAGCACCAAGAATACAGAGCATCCCTTGCCCCAGACCGAGAGCCCCTATCTATACCTTGTGGCTAATAGCCACTGATGGACCTCTGCTCCATATGCTTATCCCATTCCCTCTTGAAGCCGTCCATGCTTGTAGCCGCCACCACTTCCTGTGGCAGTGAATTCCAGGTGTTCATCACTCTTTGGGTGAATAAGGACTTCCTTTTATCCATTCTAACCCGACTGCTCAGCAATTTCATGGAGTGCACACGAGTTCTTGTCTTGTGAGAAAGGGAGAAAAGTACCTCTTTCTCTACCTGCTCCTTCCCATGCATAATCTTATAAACCTCGATCATGTTACCCCTCAGCCGTCGTTTCTCCAAGCTAAAGAGCCCTAAGCGCTTTAACCTTTCCTCATAGGTTTTTGCACAAACCAAACCCACTTTTCCCAAGACCGTTGCGTGTGCTGTGCTTTATGTGCAGTGATTCTAACGCCACCATGGTTGTGCATGTTTTGGCTGTTGTTGTGGCCCATGCAAACTTGGTTTTTTTCTTGCACTGTTTTGGAAGGCCACACCCCACACACACACCCTCTCCCGGCCTCTCCCTCTCTTTCTCCTTCGTGTCTCACTCAGCGTATCTGTGTCTCGGGCTGGCTATCTCTTGTCTCCTGGATAGAGAGAGACAGAGAACTCCCAGCGACCTCTAACAATAGGCAAAGTATTTATGACCTCAGCCTGACCAGCTCAGGGCCTCTGCCCGCATCCTTGGCATACACGGGGCAAGCAAAGGCTTTGGAGATAAAATTTCACTCTGCTCTTTATTGGGTAGCCAGCATGCAAGGTCAGAGAGCTGTTCGCAATCTCTCCTGGTCTACAGCTCCCCCAGGGAAGCCATGGGGAAGAAGGAGTGTGCTCTCTTTTATATCTGAGAATTTTTCAGATTCTGGAGAGCCAGCTTGGTGTGGAGAGCCAGTTTGGTGTAGTGGTTAGGAGCGCAGACTCTAATCTGGGAGAACTGACTTTGATTCCCCACTCCTCCACATGCAGCTGCTGGGTGACCTTGGGGAAGTTACTTCAGAGCTGTCAGGTACTGAAGGGCAGGGTATACATCCAATCCCCTCTTCCTGGGTTTGTGCCCAGCTTGGTGTAGTGGTTAAGTGTGCGGACTCTAATCTGGGAGAACTGGGTTTGATTCCCCACTCCTCCACTTGTACCTGCTGGATGACCTTGGGCAAGCCGTAGCTCTGATAAGAGCTGTCCTTGAAAAAGAGCCGTTTCTGTCAGAGCTCCCTCGGCTCTACTGACCTCACAGGCAATGTTCCCTCTAAGCTGTGGAGTCTTGTGAGCAAAAATTCTACTTTGTGAGCTACTGGCATTAAAGTTGTGAGCGACTGATTTGGCTACTGCATAAATTAGTTTGCTCTGGAGCCCTCCTTCCTTAGCTAAGCCAAAAACCTGTGAGCTGGAGGCTAAAAAACTGTGAGCTAGCTCACACTAACTCTGCTTAGAGGGAACCCTGCTCACAGGGTGTCTGTTGTGTGGAGGGGAAGGGAAATGAGTCTGTAAGCCGCTCTGAGACACCTTTGGGTAGTGAAGGGCAGGGTATACATCCAATCTCTTCTCCTCCCCCCCCCCCCTCCTTCGGCAGTTTATCCTTCGTGGTCCTCTGTTGAATTGAGGGTGGCCTCCGTGGTTCACCCATCCTCCTTTGCATCTCTACAGCAACCTTGCGAGGCTAACGGGGTCTGAACTTGCTGAGACTGCGAGGGGGAAAAATCTTGGGGTTGTAGTGGAGAGCTCAGTGAAAGTGTCAACCTGGCCTGTTCCAGCAGTGAAAAAGGCAAACTCTGTCTTGGGGGGGGAAGTTAGAGTCCAGCGGCACCTTTAAGACCAACAAAGTTTTATTTAAGGTATGAGCTTTTGTGAGCACGCACTCTTCCCCAGGAGAGAGTAAATAAACTAGCATATCAAAATAGATGGGAAGAGGACCTTAACCTCTTTTTGTAGAAAAAGCCCAGCAGGAACTCATTAGCATAATAGGCCACACCCAACAGCAGAAACCCATTAGCATATTAGGCCACACCCCCGACAGCACAGCTCATTGGCCCATTAGGCTGCACCCCCATGTTACCAGAAGTGTGGTCATCCAGCCACACCCACCTTTTGCTTATTATTCTCTTTACCTTGTTTGTTGTCAAAACCCAGGGCTTTTTTTGTAGCAGGGACTCCTTCGCATGTTAGACCACACACCCCTAATGTAGCCAATCCTAATGAGTTCCTGCTGTTGGGTGTGGCCTATTATGCTAATGAGTTCCTGCTGGGCGTGGCCAATTCAGGAGCCAGCCGGAACTCCGTTCCTATGCGTTCCTGCCCCAAAATAGCCCTGCTTAACCTTACCTTCCAAGAGTCAGATTGGGCAGACATCTGGGCTTTGCTGGCGAACAAATCCTCCATACATAATATTCGTCTTCAATTCTTCAAATTGACTGCTCGTTGGTACCTTACCCCATAAAAGCTACATAAAATTAAAACCGTCAATAAGGAATGTGTGCTGGAAGCAGTGCGGCCAGATAGGGACATACTATCATTGCTGGTGGGGCTGTCAAGGAACACAACTCTTTTGGGGAAACGTGATAACTCAGATAAATGAGGTCACCAGGCA